ATGATTCTGCTGATTCTTTTCTGTTCAAAATTATTAAACAAAATGACTAATTAAGTAATTTTTTAGTAGTTTTGATTTGTTTGCGCTCATTATGCTTAACTGTATCGAATCACTTAACAAATACATTTTTTATTGCTTATTTAAGCATAGCGTTACTGTTTCTAATTTAAAAAAATATTTTATATTCATTAGTTTGGAAATAGAGAAAAAATCATTAAAACATTTTAACAATTTTTTTCTCATTTAACTTTTATACTTAAGAAGTATAATTCTAACTGATAGGAATAAATATAATTTTAAAGCAATGCTATAATGAAGTTTAAATTGATTTTTAAGTCTCTTAAGTTTAATAATTTACTCGTTAAAAATTATTTTAATAATATTATAAACAATTTACTGGTTAATGTTTATTAAAACACCAGCAAAATGTCGCTGATGTTAATGATATGATTAATAAATGTTTATTAAACACTAATAAATATTTTATAAAAAATATACAAAATTATAAAAAATAATCAATTATTCAAAATCTACTTCAGCGAGTGTAATGGGACTATGGCAATATTTAATAGAATTTTCAAGTTATTACTCGAAAATTCTTAACGGATTTTTGTTCAACCCCAGAATCTACTGGAAACGTTCTTCTCGAAGTGATTATCTTAGATTTCAGAACAAAAAAAATATCACATAAAGTCGCCTCATATATATAATGTGCTTAGTCAAACAAATTTGCTAAGATTTCTTGCCAAAAAACTGTTACAGAACGATAGCTTTGTGATATCGGAGAACACTTAAAAGTATAATACCAAAAATAGCTGATGTAAATATATTGAGTAATAAATCGAATCCAAATCCACATAGTAAATATAATACACCACTAATACTTTAATTAGTTGTAGAGTTATATGTTAATTTCCAGATACCCTCTACACAAAAGTATGATATTATCTCTTACAAAATGTACATAATGTCAATGGACCGTCAAACGAACACCCAAATTTTTAATCAATTAGTTTGATGCAAAGTGTAAAAGTGTTACAGAAGGGACACACTATTACTCTGTAAGATCCGTAATGAAAAAGTCAAATTACGATTCATTTTGTGTAATAAATTGAAAAAATATTCCACTGAAAAAGGATCAATACAAAAATCTGACACTTGAAGAACGAGATAAGTAGAGCGAGATATGAAAGATATGGATGTAAAGTAATTCCATTCAAACTAGCCTTTTGATTACAGAATATCGTACATTCAAACGAAGATGTTTATTCATGGAGGCATCGTATTTTGTTTTATTTGTTGGGGCACAAAAAGTGTGAGCCATTCGAGATCATAATAGGTTAATGTCTCTATAACTCACTATCTCTTAATAGTAGATATTACTTTGAACATATCTTAGATATTTATTTCCAAAACTGCAAAATGTACTTAAGCATAGTTACGACTGTATTTATTAATAGTAAAGAGAAGGATACAACGTGGTTTGTATCATCTATTATACTTCCTCTCAAGATAGTGTTTTAAGCAAGTTAAGGTTAACATTAAAACCAATAACATTCATTGTCTTAATCTCCGCACCCTATGCAATTCAACGAAAGCTGGATGAAAGTACTGCATACGTTTCTTAACGAGTATCTTAAGAAATAATTTTAATATTTGAGTTTCATTATTGAAAGGTTTTTTATAAAACCTAAAAAAAATCCTATTATATATAAGGATGCTATCACTATCTAATATTGGAGTGTTACAATACTATCACTTGAACCAAAACTTTAATATAATTTCTCAAGTAATAAAATTATAAAATATATAGTATATAAAATATATCAAAACTGAGCTGTCTTTTGTATTCAAAGTATGTAGAAACCAGCTGATGATAATTAATTAAAGTTGATTTAATATACAACACATATAATTCTTTTTACAAATTTGTTAAATGAATTCTTTTCTACTCAGAAGAGGAAACCATTTTTATATATTTAAATATATTATTTTTTTTTGTAAAATCAAAATTATATTTTAAAATTAAGACTGAGCTAACTCAGCCTCAGTACGTCAGTGTCGACAACTAGACATTTTCAGTTCAGCTGCTACGAGAATAACATAAACTAATATGAAGTAAATATATATAATACTTGTATTTATATACATGCCTACTTAAAAGTATCTCAAAAACTTGACAAAAATGATTTTCGTTTTTGTTTAATAATATGAACGAAAAGATAAATACTCGTACGCTCTTTCCGGAAAAATATTAGCAGGAATATGACTAGTCAACAAGTTTTAAGTTCAGTCTATTTCGGTGTGCGGTCCAGCGTGGTACTTAAAAGTATTCGACAAGAATCCTAAAATCGTGCCGGTACAGGAAAAACGAAAAATTTGTACTTTTTGTCATTCAGATAGAGGAATATTTTGGAAGAAAATATTCCATTCTATTTTTAAAATTTATGCTTAAAATCGCGCGCGTTAACTTGACGGTTGAAGTGTGTCATTTTATTTTAAAATACCAACAAAACACATACAAAATATTACAAACTGAAGTGTGCCCTCAAATACCTAATATAATTTTAATGATTATAACAGAGGAAGAAACATAGATTATATAGTGCAGACAGTGTACTTTTTGAATACCAGAGAAAACTCATTTAAGAAAAGTGCTTTATGGCAACTTGCTTTGTTATTAATAGAAATGTGTTAATATCTATTGTTAAATTTATGGTTAATAATTTAAAAGAAATAAAATAGGAAAAGAAGTTTCACTTAAAATTACGATTTTTTAAAAATGTATTAAAATTAAAATTTAGTATTGGCAAAAGGCCATAAACGTGTCACACTAATTACGTAAATAATTGGTAAATCGATAAGATCATTATTCCATTAATGACTCAGTAATTTAGTTTAAAATTTTTTCTAATAAAAGAAGTACAGTAAAATTATAGAAAAGTAAAAATGTTCGCCAGATTTCGTAATTTATTTTCAAAATCAAAACCGGATCCTGAGCCAGAACCGGAAGATAATACTGGCGCTACAAAAGAAAATGGTATCGAAATTCCTATAATTGAAGTGACAAATGAAGATGATAAAGATGAAATACTAATACACAGTAATGGAATATTAGAGCAAGAAAATAAAAAAAAGATACAAAGTTTAGATGATACCATAGATGATCTACAAAAAACTGTAGATGAATACTTATCAAATGATATAGGAATTGAAAATGGCATTGTAAATAATATTTCTGAA